TCGAAATTGGAATAATCATCTACCGAGAGCAAAAAAGGTGGTGACTAACTATTTGAAACCATCCTGAATGCATCTCCAAACAAGCTAATCTATTTAGTTTCGCAATATACCTGGCGCCCTTTTTTAAAATACTTATTCATCCTTTTATTTCGTTACTCGTTTTACTTCTGGCTCTCTGCAGATGAAATGTAGTTTGGTCTGGAAGGAAGTCTACGTCCCTCAGTGAATGATATTTAATGGCGCTGCCGGTTTGTTGAACGTTCGTTGAATTGCTCAAGACATCTTAATTGCGAGGACGTGTTGAGGCTTCTTCACTTCTTGTTTCAGTAACGCACATGAGGTGATCCATAACAATGGACCGTATATGTGTGAGTATAGCCAGAAAGATAATCACTTCCACCCCCCCCCCCAAGCCTCATCCTCCACTACGTATGTCATCCTATGATGGTTGCCATGGTAACTGTACTGGATGGTGATGATGCATTCCCTCCAACTATAACGGCTTAGTCGGAGCTTACGTCCGAGTAGCGAATCATGTTTGGATTAACCTTTTGTCGTCGGCTTTTTCAGAAGTTGAAAGCGAGCCCTTTTATACGTTTTTGTTTGTTAAAAGTGTATGTAAGCTTGTTAAAATCAACAGGTCTTGTATACAGCGGGAAATAATGTTACTGTACATGGTAGGGGAGGCTTCATCGTATATGTCATGCAAGATACATTTATAATTTCGGTGCTCATTATACACTAATATGCATTTTTCTAAATCTCCTTTCATCCTTCTGAATCAAAGTTGATTATACTTTATCTGTATATTTCTGTTTTAAAATGGCCATACATGCAGGCAAAACTTAAATTCCGAATTACTTGAGAATTTCGTAAATTCATGAGAGTGATCACATGGATCGCGGTTAGAGTCCCGCCGCGGCACTAATGTCCTTTGGCAAGACATTAATCTACATTTGCCACACTCGACTCAGGTGAGGTAAATGACAGGAATTAAGTACTTGAAATGCTAGAGCACTGTAATGGCAGCCATGCTAAAGCCAGGGTAATAACTGCGGAGCACCAGGTGTGTCATGTTTGACAGGCGTAAGCGCTACACAAGAACCCACTATCATTATTAATATAGTTTTCCAGAAATACTTTATACGTTGGTGACATTGGTCGAGCTAGAAATTCAATTGGAATCGAGGAAAATCACCACCTCTCCAAAAAAAAAGAACATAGAAAGAAAGACAGACTCACGGACGGAGAACACACATGCAAACATATATACAGAAGGACGGATATATACAAATCATATCGGCGATCGAATTTCAGGATGACAAAGGGATTACATGGATTAAAGGGAAGAATCCAAATATACACCCGTAATAAATGTAGCCACAACCTTCCCCACCCCCGCAACACGGGATGGATGGTCTCGGCAGACAAACGATTGAGTGTGTGCAATCAATCCAGGCAAGAAAATATTACAAGAAACCAAAACATAACGACTAAATAATCGACTGGCATATTATGTGTATAGACTGTGATCAAGAAATGGGGATGCAGACAGAAATAATATTGATTCGAATCATTCTCGAGGTGACTGGGTAATTATTTGATCAAGGAAAAGTAGAAAAGATTATAGAAGGGAGTAGAGATGGAGAGAGAGAGAGAGAGAGAGAGAGAGAGAGAGAGGAGAGAGAGAAAGAGAGAGAGAGAGAGAGAGAGAGAGAGAGAGAGAGAGAGAGAGAGAAAGGAGAGAGAGAGAAGGAGACAGAGAGAGAGAAAGACAGAGAGAGAGAGAAGGAGAGAGAGAAAGAGGGAGAGAGGGGAGAGAGAGAGAAAGAGAGAGAAAGAGAGAGTGAGATATAAGGAGAGAGAGAGAGAGAGTGAGATATAAGGAGAGAGAGAGAGAGAGAGGGAGAGAGAGAGAAAAGGAGAGAGAGAGAGAGAGAGATAAGGGGCAGGGGCGAATTAGATTGACTGATGCAAGTGATTTATTGTAACGATAATTGAAAAGAAATAAAAAGGATTGAGGGACAGGTTGAACGATTGTGTGTGCACTAGAAAGAATGAGACTGCCGGGTAGCTAGGCCTACTAGGGGCGTACCACGGATCATGATATTGAGGGGGCGCCGATATTTTCGGTGGACTTAACCGATGGATAAAATGCAATTTATCATTGCCAGAAATTAGGGGAGGGTTTGGGAAGGAATCAGCGTATTCATTTGGCGCTCCCCTTTTCCCTTCTTTTTCATGTTCTTCTTTCTCTCTCCTCTTTTTCTCTGTTGCATTAGAGGGCGCGTGCCCCGTGCCACTCCTACGCCACTGCTAGGAGCGATTCGGAGAGAGATAGAGGGAGAGAGGGGGAGGAGAGGGAGAGAGAGAGAGAGAGAGAGAGAGAGAGAGAGAGAGAGAGAGAGAGAGAGAGAGAGAGAGAGAGAGAGAGAGAGAGGGGGAGGAGAGAGAGAGAGAGAGATAGACAGTGAAAGAGTGTGGGACTCGAATTGAAAGTACATGAGCAAACCTTGCACTGATGGGAATAGAAAGGCTGAAACTGATTCGCTCTCGATGCAATAAGCACTTTAGAATGAGGTAATCGCTATTCATCTCCTTTTCGTTTTAATGAAGGAAAGGGAAAAGTCAATAAAAGGCCCACTCCTAAATCCGACTAGTTCATCTAGCTAATCACCGAGCTCTTTCACTCGCTTGACTTAAGGGTGACTTTTGCCTTGACATTTCTCACCGACCCAATAGCGTGATAAATCAGGAGGTTTATTTTTAATATGCCTAGGCTATAGGTGCTCACTCACTCTTTTCATCCCCCTCTTTCTCTCTTTCTGTTTCTCCTCCAATTCAATGTCCCCATCTTCCCTCTCTCGCTCTATTCCCTATATCGTTTTCTCCTCTCCCCCCCTCTCTCTCTCTCTCTCTCTCTCTCTCTCTCTCTCTCTCTCTCTCTTCAACTCACTCACAGAAGGACACACGCACAACACACATACTTAACCGTGCACATACATTTGTTTTTTTTCAACCAAATTTCCTTTTTCATCTATCCCATTACCTCTCCGATATTCTCACTTTTCTTCATTGAATGCCCCTCTCATGTCTGTTACTCCATCCCCATATCAATCCAACTCTTTCCATCCTCTCACCGCGTCTCCATGTACGTTTCTCTCACTTTCATTGTATTAAGCGCTATATAAAAATTAAATATTATTATTATTGTCTTTTCCCACTGTATCATCTGTACCATTCCTTCCCTCCCCTTTAATTCTATTTCCATCCCTCCGAATCTCTCTTTCTCCTTCTCCTCTCCTCTCTCTTTCTCCTCTCTTTCTCTTTCTCCTCCCCTACTATCATCAGCCTTTTCTTACACCGTACTGTCTCTCTTTTCCCAAAATACCCGTCTCCCTCCGTCCGAATATATATCTAGGAACGTTAATAATTAGAATATAAGCGGGGATGTTATATTGAAAGTCCTATAAATCAGAAGTTCTAATTTCATTAATTAAAAATGAGAATGACGGATGATGAATCCAGGCTCCTGACGTGTAATATAATGAGATTTTGTTTCTGATTATAGCTTGGTCATTGTCCAAGATGGTTAATGGATAATGCTGTATACCGATCACGCAATCAAATTGTCAAATAAACTTCTAAAATTTATTCTGAATGATTTATGATGTTTTTTAAGTAATAGAATGAAATCAAATTGATTAGATGTTGCTAAAATTACAGACAATTGAAAGCGTTGGGCAATTATGGGTACATTTGGTCGGCTACATTACAAATGGCGTCGTAATTTGATCATCAGTCATCAGCCATTGGTAGTGCTATAGGAACTAGAAGAACATTTTAATAGCAACACTGTTCGTGGGACGTTTCTTCTTCTTCTTCCTCATTTTCTCTTTCTTCTTCTTGTACTTCTTCTTCTTCTTCTTCTTCTTGTTCTTCTTCTTCTTCTTGTTCTTGTTCTTCTTGTTCTTCTTGTTCTTCTTGTTCTTGTTCTTCTTCTTCTTCTTCTTGTTGTTCTTGTTCTTCTTCTTCTGCTTCTTCGATTTCTTATGTTTTTTAGCTGCTAACAATCCCTCGTTTATATTTGATTTTCATATTTATGATTCGTAGGTTAACAGTAGTAACGATCTGTTAAGTTATGCTCCTCCGTAAATGATGTGACAGATATGTATGATGTTAATCTATGAGAATGCAAACAAAACGATAAAGAGAAATAGAAAGAGAGACGAGGAGAGAGAGAGAGAGAGAGAGAGAGAGACGAGAAGAGAGAGAGCAGAGAGAGCGAGAGAAAGAGAGATAGAGAGAGAGAGAGAGAGAGAGACGAGAAGAGAGAAAGACGAGAAGAAAGAGAGGGAGAGAGAGAGAAAAAAAAGAGAAAGGGGAGAGATGTGAAAACATGTTTATTTTCATAAGGCTGTGTTCACATCTAATGATGATAGTAAAACATATTTTAATAAGCCTCAGAAGCCACACACTATATAGATATAGATACATGGATAGATGGATATAATTATGTATAATATATATATTTATATACAGAGATAGAGAGAGAGAGAGAGAGAGATGAAGGTGGAACGAAAAAGATGAATTTGTTCTTTTTATATTTAATGTAAACTTCTTTACTATTATGAATCGAGCCTATATTATAATAAGTATTGATATTCTATAAAAGCAGTACCATATTTGTCATTTCTTCAGACTGAACTGAAAATAAATTGGGCCTAGCCTTAATTTTGGTAGAGGTATCCTTAAAGAAAAAATACAACGAGAAAACCGACTGTTGTTTTAAATGAAAACGGGTCATGAATATGTGATCAAGAACACCAAAACGAAATGTCATCCTCATTTCAGTATTATCATGTTATCTCCTCAATTTCCTATACTAAAGATCAGGTTGCACCTATATCTCTGTCTTTGTCCAAGAGTTGAACGCTATCAAATAAAACACTTCAGGCTGGAAACAAGAAAACGAGACCCGATACGAATGCAACGAGAGCAGACGACAAAATGCATAACTTTCTGTTTGACATTCATACCCGCCCGAGCCGGCACGTCACACAGTCAGCGTCAAATCTCGCACGCAACACGCTTCACAATTAATTCGTCTTTATCTGACTGAAACATCTACATCATATCTCTTCTTGACTCTTCGCCTCACAGTCTCTCCGCCGCCCTTCTCCTCGCATCCAGTGCACCTAGCCCCCATAAAAACGGAACCCTGGAATTAGTACCCAGTTCTGGAAGGTAATCATTTATCTATGAGGAAACGTTAATCATTCGTGTATCATTTCAGTACGTGGGAGCTAACAGCGTGTGTAAAATATTCATCACGACGTAATTGGAATCTGCACCATAAATCTGCGCTTTCTCGCTCTGTCCGTTCACTTCTACCTGCGTTGTTGATACAGTCTTTCCCCGATGGTTTTGTTTAGTGCTTATTTTACCCGGACGCATAACTCTGGTGAGTGTTATCGGATATTAATATGGCTTGCGGCATAGTGGAAATATTCCAAACAGTATACCTCCTCCTTCGAGACCTGAACAATCTATTCTTCTCAGAAAGAGAAAGGTGTTTATAAACTCTGCACTCTCTCCAATCACAAAAGTTTAATCCGGGACATGGAAAGTACAAACCGCGGCACAGTACTTGGAAATAAAATAAATTGCGTGCCTTTGTCCTGGCTGTATCCTGCATCGCAAAGCAAGACAGCACATTATTTACAACGGATTTCATTGCGCTTCGAGGTCGGAGCCTTTTGCTGCATCGTTGAGTTCTGTTTCACACTTCAACGGGATGGTTACGCCGGATTAGGGGTCATATTGCTGTTCTTGTCCTCTCTCCGACGGGTTTTAAATCATGTCCAATTTAACATCAGGTCCGTAGTGTGTACCCCAGCTCAAACCTACCCGACGTCATCACCCCTTGGTCAGCCCGAACTCCCAACACCAGAACAAATGTACCCCACTACCAGTACCCCGCACGCGACCACGCCCAATGACTACACCCCTCTCTCAAACGCATCTTCTGATCCCTACACAAGCTCTGATACCTACACTTCACTGCTCGGTACATCCTCTACGCTGGTGCCAGTCAACAGCACGAGTCTCAACGCTCACACCGACACGACTACGCTTTCAGGATTCCTTAATTCCACTGAAGATGCCAATTCTATGATCATTACGTCATTGGTGACGTCATTTGACTTCAACGAAACGCTGAGTGATAATGCTACTCTTGTGGGTACACCGGTGAATGACCAAGGTAGACTAGGTGAGTCGCTTATACCATCTCAAACAAACTAACGAAACAATTGGCACATTTTACAAAAACAACAAGTTTTAGCTTGAGTTTATTGTATTCAAACTGTAGATGCACTGATGCATTGTCAAAGATATATGGTTAGGTTGAGGATTGCCACTTGCAAATGACGTATAGATTTGGTTTGGTTTAGGGTTAGGATAGGGAAGAGTGATGGGGCTTGGACGAGGCTTGAAGCTAGGAAATCGGTTATAAGGACAGTGAAAGAAATGATGTCCTGAGTATGTATCGTACAATCCACATAAAATTAGCGTAGAAATTATAGGGAGACCGTAGGGATAAACAAAAACAAAATCGAGAAAGTAGACATATATATATATAGATGCGCAGCGAAATGACGGAGGTTAGAGAAAGAGGAGGAGGGAGGAAGAGGAAGAGGAATTAAAAAAAGGAAATAAAGAAAAAAATGAGAAAAAGAAGGAAAAGAAGAAGTAAAAGAAGAAGAAGAAGAAGAAGAAGAAGAAGAAGAAGAAGAAGAAGAAGAAGAAAAAGAAGAAGAAAAGGAAGAAGGACAGGAAGAAAAATTGAGGAGAGAGAGAGAGAGACAGAGAGAGAGAGAGAGAGAGAGGGAGAGAGAGAGAGAGGGGGAGGAGGAGGAAATATATGTGAGAGGGAAAGGGGAGAAGGGAATAGAGAGAGAGAGAGAGAGAGAGAGAGATGTAGAGATAGAGATAGGGGAGATAGGATATATAAAGATGAATGTCGAGAGGAGAAAGAGGGTGAGAGTCTTGGGTAGGGGAGTAGGAAAAGGTGGGAATGGAGAAGTATAAGGAGAGAGGTGTTGCATATCAGCGATGAGCAATCCATAACCATCCTTAATTCTATAAAACGGTTAAAAAAATGTCACTCCCGATCCGTCATGCACGTTGTGAGCAGTGTGGATGATGGTTCGTATTGTCGCATTACCATTTGAATCACGGTTTCATCCATCTCCAGCTAAACTACTGTGCACCGCCATGAATACTTTTGCATTTATTATTGCTAAGCCGTATACCTTAAAGGTATCTTAACTGTGCGTGCCTCTCATCTTGTCACCTGCTGTAAAACCTATTTCCCAAGCAGAGAATCTAGAGTAGGAGGAAGGAAATAAAACAAACGGAAAGGAAAATAGTGTCTTTTGTGTAAAATCCATAAGAAAGGATTTGAGGTCAATATTTGTTATTTAATATAAGAGGCAGATGGTGACTTACCTGAAGATACTAGTACAGGAAATAAGATAGACGATGCAGAAAGATATATCGATCCAAGGATAAAGTAGTCAAGAAGAAGTTGTTGGAAAAAGGAGGGTCAGTGAGTAGAAAATTGAGGAAAAGATAGAGAGAGAGAGGAGGAGGGGGCAGAAATACAGACACAGTTAGAGGCAATGTGGGACAATGTGATAGGGTGAACAAACAAAAAGTGGGAGTAGAGACAGACGGATCGACAAACAGAGAGAGAGAGAGAGAGAGAGAGAGAGAGAGAGAGAGAGAGAGAGAGAGAGATGGGGGGGGGGGTAGAGGAGGGGGGGGACAAGTTATTAACAAAATAACCAAAAATAAAGTATGTATGGATAGACAGAAGATTTAAACTACAGACGAATTTCCTGTTCTCTATATGGACTATTCAAAGAAAGTGAAAAATGCTTCAATTTTCAATTTCAATTTATTGTCCAATATTGGAAATTTGTTTTGCTCACATACAAACGTACAAAGAATCAATATAACTTTACGTACATAATAATCATATACTATGACATAGAAATCCTTCAGAATATTGCTATACAGTAGTTTTCTTACGTTATGATAAACAAACACAAAAATTATTATAATAAATAAGCGAGTGATCGGGATGGCCCGGAAAAGTTACAAAAATAGCATTACAGAAAAAAAATAGAACGTAAAATTCAGGTAGCATTTTGATTGAAGAGCATAGATGTGACAAACACGTGAAAACAGACAAAAAGAGAATACAATTTCACAGATGAGAGGTGACAGTGAATAATGGATGTATTGGAGGATTCAGTATTTTGAGAGCTAAAAATGTTACACCGAAATATCTTAAATAAATGAAGCATTTGCTGGAAAGGTGTCATTTCTCTGTATTTGCTTCCAGCTAACGCTTCATATGATACAACCAGCTATTGCTAGAAAGCATTGCTAGAAAGTTATATTTTGACCCATTGTGAAAAAGCAGAGATTTGTGCGACGGATATATTAATAAAGACAAAATTAATATTAACTCCTTGCTAAAGAAATTATTTTTATCTTCTAAATAGTTGTTGGACCAAGGTAAACCAGTATGGATTGTATGGTTTCTCAAGGAAATCGAAGAAAAAAAACTCACGCAACTTCCTCTTTAGACAATTAAAAAAAAAAGTGTTGACAACAACTCGTGGTGAATTATAGTTCCCATTATTTTCTTTATTGCTTAAAAACATATTTGAAAAAGTTTCATGACCAGTGCCATTATCCTTATCCCATGCAGCTTTTACAGCTTCAGTAGATTCTTGAAATGCGGAGGAAAAGCAATTAGACGCTTCTCCTCAAATCACCTTTAATACTCCACATCCGTCTCGGAGATGCTAGACGATTACTGCTGAAAACCATCTCGAGAAGGAATAAATAATCAATAAAAAAAAGTATTTCAGGATAGAGTTGAGCTTTCTGATCATGTGATTACATTGAGGAAAAAGTGACTTAATGCAATATACCGGTTGACTAACAATTTCAATTTTATGGATGTCTCTTTCCTAGGGACCTAATGACGAGTTATTCCACTATTATGAAATACAATACTTGGAATCCAGTCTGCATACATTACTTGTTGCTTATCGAGCTAGCTTTCAGGCTGTCAAGAAGAACCTTTGTTAAAAAGTATGAATTAAATCTAGATATGTTAGTGAATCGTTCTATTGGGAAAGGTTGGTCACTTTGAGCATAAAATTAGTGATTACTTTAAGGTTTAGGAATCATTAAAATGATAAGAAATTGACCAATTTTCGTTGAAAAGCTCAATCACCCCTACACACGAGATTGGTATGTTGGACTATTTGGTCTAAATATTTTAGTTATTTCTCATGAAGGCATTTGAAGAGCAACCTCTTTCAGGGGACATTCTACGATGATATTCTTCCACATTATTTAAAAAAAAAGGATGCAATGAACATTTTATCTTCCGTCTTTGCCACATCTCCACATTCTCCTTATTCTTCAAATGAAGATGTAGAGAAGATGAATAATGAACGGGGGTAACGAACGGCTCTCTCAAGTGGAGGACGTTTCTTTCTTTTTCTTATCCAGACTGGCCGTCTCCAAAAAGTTTGAAACCGCAGTACGCCCCTCTCCACATTCCACCCGTCCGCCCCCTGCCCCCTCTTCGTCTGGTTCTGCCTCATATTGTTGTCAGCTGCAGACATCCATTCACCAGCAGAAACAGGGTTTACTTCATTTCAGATTTTTCCAATTTTGAAATACTTGCCTGATATGGGGCTTATGATTGTCGGCATAGTTCACTGGCATTTGGAAATTTTCCGCTTGGTTATTGAGGGCAAACATGGCGGAGTAGACGGCGCAGTGTTGGTGTAATCGACAGGCTTGTCGACAGAATGAAAGCCACGTCTTAACCGGTACACACACCCCTCATCACCTGAGAAATTAATTTACCCCCTTCATATGGGAAAAGTAATCGGATGTTATAAGTAGTACATCCCGAAGAAAAACAACACGAATTGTGATAAGAGTGTCACTTTAGATCATTGTAGCACAACTCGAAACTCACATGTCAACATACTTTACTGACACAAAGAATAACTGTATAAAGATATAAAATGTCCAACAGGCTAGAATGTTCATTTATGTCTTTGATTTAAAAAAGATTTGGTTGTGGTATCATTTAAACCTTCAAGGAATACACACCGGTTTTAGGGGCACACTTTCGCGATGGGACCGTTGTTTCTGACTCGAATAGAAGCCTTTTTTAATGTTCTCAATATCACAAGCGAGGGAGGTGAATGAGCTAAAGTTTTCATCTTTATTTTAGTCACAATGTAATTACGTCACAAAAAAATTACAAATAGACCGCCTCGCAGCACGAAAACGAGATAGCGGTTACCCAAATAGGCGTTTGGTCATTGAAAACCAGCTGCAGGCCCCAGCCAAGCCAACCCCGCTTCGTAGCCTACATGTAAGATAATACATCAAGGTTTAAAAGAATTTCCTTCCACTGACTGCTATACTTATGATTGATATCTACGGTGTTATTACACTGTTGCTCATAATGTACGGATACCTTTATTCCTGGTAGGCATAGCGTATGCGTTTTCAAAACTGTTGTTGTCTAAATGACGCTTTATATTGTATTATCACGTAAGTTCTGAGAGGATAACAACTTTATTTATGAAGAATAAACCATAATGTCACAATCATTTCATGAAAAGCTGTAAGAATTTTCCCCCAATGTTGTGGATAGCAATGTAGTTATTTGTAAAACTGTACGAGTATATATTTTAGTACGAGTAGAGTTTAGTACAGTTCCAAAATAATTGGACATTGGCATTTCCCGCGTCCCCTTGCCCCAAAATGTAATCATAGTTATTACTACCAATTGTGCTTTACGATATATTAATTTTTTGTTTAAAGAGATCCGGTAACCTTGTCTCAGATTCTGAAACAAAATCCTGAATTTAGCTCAGGCTGCAATGATAATTATAAACCTTTAGGTCAGTCAGGAACCCCATGACTTTTACAAACCTATCGCCTGCCTGAAAATCAAGATATTTATGATTGGAAATCGAAACCAAATTTTGCGTTTGCCAAACGGTTTTCATAACACTACAGTACACCATATCACAGACACTGATAACACGTAGGACCGTGCATCTCAGATTTAACATTGTTAAACGATGCCTTTAAAATATTGTAATTCAGCTTATATCTCGACCACTGCCTTTAACCAAATTGTTTGCGTGATTATATTTTATTATACGAAGCAGCAATTTGACGAAAGCCTGTTGAATTTCTTTGTCGATTCCATGTACCATTTTCCGACTTTTATATTCATGGATTTTCAATTATTATAGAAATAGGGTATATCATACTACATAAGCATTTTGAGGAAAAATTATACAATGAGTATATACAATCCTGGCAGGAAAAATTGACGAGTAATTGCGTAAGTTTTAAATTTTTATTGAGAAAATGAAGGAAAAACAATTTGAATTTTAAATGCAACTTGGATTATTTTCTCCATTCTAACACTATGGGAATACAAATTGCTGTACTTATTTTTAAACCCTCATCCATACCGAATCTAATACCCGCAATACCTCCGAGAGGTTTGTCGAAGATGATGATGTTACGTAATACACAAAGGTTTTCATCGAATTAGTCCATCTCGTTGCTAGGTTACACACTCACATGGCTATCTCACAAAAGAAAACGCGTATGGGGAGTCGACGCGAATATGAATAATCCCCTCGGGGGGGGGGGGGTGACAATGATTATCATTAATAAGTAGGTCTATAATCTTCGAAGTCCAGGAAATAAGCTTCTTATATTCAGCGCTCTTTCAAAAGCGAACCATTAATATTCTGCTTAAGTTCTTTGTTTGATCTCTTCTCTCTCTCCCCTTCTCTCTCTTTCAAAGGTTTGTCCAGAAATAATATTGTGCTTATTACATCCCTCTCCATCGTGATTGGTTGCTTTGCCTTCACTGCTCTGCTGCTCAGGATAGGGTAAGTTGAACGTCGTTAATACATCACATATAGTGTTCCATAGTGTATCCACAGTGTGCCCACTATGACTACAGTACAGTGTGGCCATAATAATAATAATAATAATATGTCTTGTTTACCCAGGGTAGCGTCATCAGTATTCATACTGTTCTCCCTGAGGGCCCTGCAATCATATTAATGTGTGTGGATATTCTGTGAACTCAGTGTGGGAGGTGTTTAAAAAAAAAAGTGGTATTTGTGTTGATGGACACAGTTTAGTCGATCACAGTATATTCTTTTAAATAGAAACAGTATAGGCATAGTGTAGTTATAGTTTGGCTACAGTGTGGCCGTTATGCGTGTCGATGTTTTGTGAACTCAGTGTGGGAGGTGTTTAAAAAAAAGTGGCAATTGTGTGGATGGACACAATTTAGTCGACCACAGTGTATTATTTTAAATAGAAACAGTATAGGCATAGTGTAGTTATAGTATGTCTACATTGTGGAATTAGTGTGGGTGAATATTCGGTAAACTTAGTGTGGGCAGTGTTTTGAAAGCATGGATACAATGGGGGTAATTGTGTACATTGACATAGTTTACACAATGTTCTCATTCACAGTGTATTTCTTTTTTAGTAACAGTAATGGTATAATGTAGTTATAGTATGGATACAATGTGGACACAGTGTGGACATAGCGTGGACATAGTGTGGACATAGTGTGGACATAGTGTGGACATAGTGTGAACACATTTTTGACACAGTGTATAGATTGTATGGTAACGAATCAGTTTCAATTAAGACACTGTGCGGACAGTATGGATACAATATGTTCATTTATAGACACCGTGTGGTCTTAATGTGGACACAGTTGGTACATGGTTAGCATACAGTGTAGAAGGTAATCAAAGTGCCTCTATATCAAAGCCAACGTGATAAAAAAAACGTACCAAAACTTGCTGTGTGTTTATATCGTGTGAACACGCTATTCCCTTCCTGTTTGAGGTGACTGTGTATCACATTGCGTTACACGGTGTGAATATTCAAATTTTGATGTTTTACAATGTATAAATCATTTAATACGTGCAAAAGACAGCACAGTTTACCATATTAAACACTCGCTACATGTTTCTAAATCGACAACACATGCCAATCAAAGTGTATACAATTAAAAAAAAATAATACACGTCCATTTACGCTTGTCGGCAAAATTTGGGAGAGTGCACAAGTGTTCCAGATTGTACATGCCCATTAAAGCATAATTAAGCAATTATGACACTAGCAAAGATTGCATTTTTAAATTTGCTAAAGATGTGTAAACAATGCCCCAAATCTATGGGTGGCACGGCTAGTACATCAAGAAAACTAAATTAGATTTGATTAGTTAATGTGGTTCTATTTATATCCATTTGTTGTGTGTTTTGGTGTACTACACAGGAGTCGGGTAATGAAAGCAAGGAAAGAGGTGGAGGAGAGAAGACGAAGGAGACGGCATGCTGTGAGAAGAAATCAGGTAAGAGCTCATGATGGCCCGCCCTCCTGCACCCCCCCCCCCCCTCCTCTCCATCCCGCGCCCTCATCCTGATGAGACCAATGGTCAACTCATAGGGCATCTTTGTTTAATATGGCAAAATTCCTTCTGGTGAAGATGTATAAATGATAATAATACGTATATAGCACGACTTTACTTCTGCAACTACGACCAATGTTACTACTAGTACTACTACCACCATTAACGCCACCACTACTACCACGAGCACGACTAATGCTGATGCTGTACTATTCTCTCTCTCTCTCTCTCTCTCTCTCTTTCTCGGTGTCTCTCTCATTCTTTTATTTCCCATATGTCTTATCTTCGATATATTATTGTAATTCTACTCAACACAAGGTTGGCATTACCTTCTGTTGGTCACGTATATACATACATACACGTCTTCAGTTTCCTATTCAATGTGGAATATGCTTAAACCAAGCAAAGCGTCGCACGTACATGACAGTATACATATACAAATGTTTCTTTGGTATGGTTACATCGTTTCTGTCCACAGAGTCGAGTCGAATAATCACCATGGATTTTTAAAACATTAAAAGGAAATCGGAGAAGATCGGAGAACCCATCAAGAAGCCTATGGTCCGTTGATAGAAGACGGGGTGAAGTCTCATGTCAGATTAGGATACAAAGAGAGAAAATGAGACAGGAAGGGAAGTATAAGATTGAAACAGGATTTTGTCGAAAAGGATGGATGGTGTCGGTCAAGGGAAAACATGGAGAAATGAGGATGAAGCTATTTGAAGTTTAAACTTGCTCAGCAGGGAGAGAGAGAGAGAGAGAGAGAGAGAGAGAGAGAGAGAGGAAGAGAGAGAGAGAGAGAGAGAGAGAGAGAGAGAGAGAGGGGGGGGGGACCGATTCATGCTCAAGCAATGATGAAGGGGATTGTTCCAGCAAATAAATATATACTTGAAGACTAAGGACTTTGAACAACGTTGCTATCAAGTCACATACATGTAGAGTGGGACTCGAATCGAAACGACGTAATAGAGAGAGAGAGAGTGCAAGTGAGAGAGAGAGAGAGATAGATAGAGAAAGAGAGATAGCAAGAGAGAAAGGGAGAAAGAGAGAGAGAGAGATAGAGAGAGAGAGAGAGAGAGAGAGAGAGAGAGAGAAAGATGGGGAGGGGGTGAGAAAAAGTCAGGCACATAGAAGGATGGGTGTTTAGTACTTGTACCTCCTATGAAAGGAATACGAGAGCCTTTAGTCTCTGCTGCTTAACGTTTGACCTATGTGGTCCAGCCAACAGGAGAGGTAATTAACAGCATACCGGCACGTATGTTGGTAAATTTCTCCTCCCCTCTTTCTTTCTTTCCCTTTTTGTTCTCTGTCTCTCTCTATATATATATATATATATCTCTCTCCCTTATTTGCCCTAACTCTTACTGTAGCTTTCATTTTTTCACTCCAACTCTACCACATTCTCATTTTCTCGAAACTTTCATTTATACTCTTTGTCTTACCATCATGCTCTATATCTCCCTTCTATAATTCCTCTCTCTCTCTCTCTCTCTCTCTCTCTCTCTCTCTCTCTCTCTCTCTCTCTCTATCTCTCTCTCTCTCTCTCTCTCTCTCTCTATATATATATATATATATACTATTTGTATTTGTCTTACTGCCTGTGTATGTCTGTGTCTCACGTTGTCCATCTCTATGTCTGTCTCTGTATGTAAGGCTATCTCTTCTCTGCCCCCCTCTCTCTCTCTCTCTCTCTCTCTCTCTCTTTCTCTCTCTCTCTCTCTCCCTCCCCCTCTCTCTCACGCTCTCTCTATCCACCTTCCTTCCATTGTCTACCCCACACCATCCCCTCGTCTGCCACACACGGCCTTGTGTTATCTATGTAGACGTCGGAAGGCATCCCAATGATGCTCGATGCAATCTTCTGGAAACGAGACACTCCATGTAAGATTATCCATACCGATGACCTCAGTTAACTATGCCAGGTCACATGCACCATGCCAGTAGTTACTGAAGAAATGTTCCGAAAATTAAGGAGGGTGTGGGCGGAGGGAGGGGAGTGTGGGGGCGATGATAAATGCGGTCAATGCCCTACGCTAATTAGAATTCGAACTTCAACCATTGACGAAACATCTATACTTAACCCTAATGCTTACCCCCAGACGTAATAATTACCGATGGCAACCATAATAAATAACCTAGTATCATAACCTAGGTCACCATCCATTTCCAGCCTAACCGCTCACGATGGCGGTTTCCTGCGTTCTAAAATTTATCTCTTTAGTTCAATGAAAAATATATACATATATCCGTATACTTGTTTGCATGCTTTGTATTATGATTATTGTATAATATTATTATACTTGATTTACTATTTATTGTATAACCTTGTATTTGTTATTATAACGCAGAAATATAAGCAATCAAACAAAAAGTACTCTTACGGAAAAACAATAGACCGCTAGCCTCAGGGGTACGGTGGGTGTAGATGGTTTGCAGTTTGCGAAAACTATACAGAGGGTTTGAAATATGAGACTATTAAATATTGTAGTCCACAGACCTGACATATTGACAAAGTTAGTCGCTGCTCAATGCTTCATTGAAGTGAAGTGTTACAGTATCAAGAGTATGTGCCTGCGGATAATGGACGTATGAAGATGAAAGAAAACGTTGGTTGCTTTGTCACGTATGCTAATTTAGCCACGCAGGTTGATTAAGGGTGTATCTCGCTGAGCAGCGAATGCTTGCGAACATAGCGAAATTGGGATTTTGCCAGGGTCCGCAAAAGGTTGCAAAAGGATCGTTAAAGGTCGAAAGAAAGTTCACAAACAGTTTTACTCGTCTTTGAAAAAAAGGTCATCGGTGCCCCTATTAAAATCGCAGTCTCTTGTTTAAACTTCCAGTCTGTAAAATCCCATTATATAGAATGCTTAGAGAGCATCCATATTGCATGACTATTGGTTCAAAATACCTGGGAGTCTCCCCCCCCCCCCTCGAAATACCAATTCATGACCAGAACGAATGATTCACGCGAAGTTCTGGGAGAGAAGTATTTTTTTCGGAAATGACACCATTTCATGATCTGCTGTAGATGTTGACATGGGGTCGTTTCATGAAACAATTAGTCGGTGGTTGTCACCAACTAATATCATGTTCAGCGACAATTTTTTTGTCACCGACTAATTTCCAGGCCTGTGATTGGTCAAATTTAGTCAGCGCTGGCTAAATTGTCGGTGAACATGATATCAGTCGGTGAAAACCCCCGACTAATTGTTTCATGATACGCCCCCAGTTGTCATTTGGAGCCGAATGAGGATCGAATAACTAAATGTGATGAAAAGCGCGCTTCCTACGGGGGTGGGTGCAGGGAGGGGGAGTTTCCCCCCTCCTGCGCGAAGCGCGGAAGCTTTGAAAGAAGACGATTCGGTGTACCTTTCTCGACTCGCAATCCTTGTCTGAATTCAGTCCGCCCCTCCTGCGCATAGCGCGAAAGCTTTGACGTATTATTAGACAAAGAAGATGATTCGTTGTACCTTTCTCGACTCTTCATCCTTATCTGTATTCAGTTTCCTCCCCTCCCGCGCAAAACTTTGAAGTTTCATTAAATTATTAGAGAAAGAAGACGACTCAAAGTAGCGTTCTCGACTTCTTAATCCTTGTCTGATTTCTGTTCCCCCCCCCCTCTTGCGCGAAGCTTTGACGTTTTATTAAAATATTAGAGAAAGAAGACAATTCATTGTACCTTTCTCGACTTCTTAATCCTTGTCTGATTTCTGTTCCCTCCCCCCCCCCCTCTTGCGCGAAGCTTTGACGTTTCATTAAATTATTAGAGAAAGAAGACAATTCGTTGCACCTTTCTCGACTCTTAATCCTTGTCTGGATTCAGTCTCCCCCTCCCTCCTCCTGCGCGAAGCGCGGAAGCTTTGACGTATTATTAGACAAAGAAGACGATTCGTTGTACCTTTCCCGACTCTTAATCATTAATTTAAACTCAGTTTCCCCCTTTACGCGCGAAGCGCGGAAGCTTTCACATTTCACGTTGTACTGTTCTCGACTCCTTTTCCCTTTTTCTTTCTACGTCCTCTTACTTTTTTTCTTCTCTTTCTCTCTCTCTTTTTTTTGGCCGGCGTTTTGTGGGGGGGGGCGACCGCCCCCACCGCCCCCCCCCCCTCCCCTGGCTACGCGCCTGTGTGATGACGATGCTGAATATATACTCTTACAAATAACACTCTCTGCTGAAGAGTCTCATAACTCATGCAAGGAACAAATCCTACCACTGGAGGTTGTTTCCGGTGATGCTGACGCCGGATGATAAGTATCAAGTATCAAGTTTATTTGCCTTCCAGAAAACACATGTGACAAAATATAATAGGGTATATTCGTAACAGTACAATGTAGAATAAAGTAGCGAAGATTAGATAAACCCGGCCAGAAGGGAGATACATGTAACACGGGGGTGAAATGGCGTTGTAAAATTCCCCTCTATGTACATGTGAATAGTAAAGGACAGATGCACACAAGTATTACATGCATTTGTGAAAGGTTTTGAATGTTGTATTGCTACGTGTATTATTAACAAAGGACATGTGTTTATCAGACATTTCATAACTGCAGTCTGCGCATGAGCAAGATAAACGTCATTCGTACTCGTACCACCCTGTGACATCCGTGAAGACACCAAATACTTGATACGTGTTCACGAATGTCTTGAAGTCGTGATTCATTTGTGGACACGTTATGCATCAGACGTTATATTAATGGATATTTTCTTTTCAAAATTGGGGGGGGGGGGGGGGGAGAGGTTCATTGCCTACCTTACTAAATACATAATATATAGAGGGCATTATTGTATTAGGCGGAAAAGAACCACACAAAAAATAAACAGATCAGCGGAGAATTCAAGTAAAATTTGATTGATAAACAAATAATTATAAGTTGATGACTACCAAAACATCAAGCTTTCCTTGTTATTGGGTTTTAATATGAACCTAGAGGTATACATAATG